TCAGAAACAGACGAATCCAACGAATTAGTGAATAAAACTAATGAAGAAATTGTGAACCCTTTAGAGAACTCCGAGAAAAGCGTTGAGAGCTCTGAAAATATGACCAATGATTTAATGACACCCGAAGACCAATTAAATGAGACAAATGATACGTCAGAGGAAAGTGTTCATAAAACTGAGGAAATAAATGTTGAATTGAATAAAACAAATGAAAATAACATCACAACTAACACCGAAGAAACTGTGGAAAGTGTTCCGGAAATACCGGTACATAATTCACATGAAATATTGAATAAAACTGAAGTATTGAACGAAACTCAAGTTCTCAATAAAACTGAAATTGTGAACAAAACCGAAGAATTAAATAAAACAATTGAATTTGAGAAAAGTGTTGAGACTTCTGCTATAAGTAATGAAGAACTAACCAACAGTTTAGAGAACACTAAAACTGATGAAGAACTGAATGAATCTAAGGATGAGTTGAATAAAAGTATTGATGACACGGAAGAGACTGAAGGAACGGAAGACATCGAGGATTCAAAGACTGATGACTTACTTAAAAATGATAGTATTTCTAATGTTGAGAGAAATGAGTCAATTGGAGACAATGTGCAGATAAACGAAAGTATTGTACAAAATGTGAGCCAAGATCTGAATGTGGAGTCAAATGCAGAACAAAATGGTTTAAATTCTGAACAAAAAGATGAATCCTTGAATCCAACGGATGACAAGTTAAACGAAACTCAAATAAACAACAATTCTGTTAATTCTGGTTTAAATGAAAGTGTTTTAAATACAAGCAATGAATTACCTGTAAATACTGGCAAAGAAGACGTGAATGAGAGTTACCAACAATTACCTGATAAATCATTGCCCATAACCAATGATACACCAAATGATTTGAGTGATGATAGTCTTGATTATCAAAAAGATGATCAAATAGTGAACGATAAAAGTGTTACAACCGAAGAACATATCAATGAAAATGAGACACAAAATGAGAATTTTTCGGATAGTTATGAAACAACTGAAACAAATGGTTTATTTAAATGGTTGGGTTTGGAGGGAATGGCCGTCACTGATGTAATTAGTGATATAATTCCGGATGATATCGAGCTTATGTTAAAACAGTACAATATCTCAGCGCAAGCCATTGTCTTCACTTTCATAATAGCCTTTCACTGGTGTTTAACGAAAATTATTATATCAGTGTTTAATTCAAAGAAAAAAGAGAGAACATTAAGAGGTGATCATAATTCAATAAATATATTAAATTTTTTAGTTTTAATTTTGTATTTTATTTCCAGACACTGTATGCAAATATGAGCGACAAATCTATTATTTTGAAGCAGAGAAACAGAAGTTGCAAAACAATATTTTTGACGAACGCGAAAATGTACAGTATTTTTACATTTCTACTATTATCTCAGTTTGAAATTGAAAAGTTTAATCACTTTTATTACATTTTATAGTCGCAAAGAGCTGAAGAGAGACTTCATTTGGCAGAATATAAAGTGATTCCATTAGAGAGTGAATGTTTGAAATATAAAGTAAGTCTTTTTAATGATAGTAGTAATGGTTTGAATAAAATAAATCGCGACACTTAACCAATAATATGCATAACTTTCAACATATGTGTTGAATGAAATAATGTACCGTATATTTAAGTTACTCGCTTTACTAAAAATGACTAATTGATTGCTGAAATTACTAATTATATTCTTGTTTATCTAACTGTCCCTTAAGGCTGAAAGGGAACAGTTGTGCCAAAGAATAGTTAGTTTGGAGAGTGAACTGGAAAGCGCCGCAGAGGCCAGTCTTGAAGCCAATCGCCTATTGAATGACTTCTTAATTTCTCAGAAGGAAAACGTTAGTTTGAATTCAAGTGTCGATGCATTACAACAACAAATTACAAGACAATCAGAAATTGTTTCGAAATATGAATCGACTGCAAAACAGAAACAAAAAGAGGTTTATATCAATGTCTAGAAATTTGAATTCTTTTAATTGATATCTTTTGTCACATACTCTCAGAATTTGGAACTAAGAGAAAGAACTGAGAAAATGAATACAGAGTTGAAGCGAATTCGGAATATTCTCAAAGAAACGGAGACTAACTTACAGACGGTTCAGAAAAACAATGAAGAGTTAAAGTCATCGAAAAGTGAACTCAATTCTAGTTTAAGTCTTTTAGAACAAGAATATTCTAGTCTTCAATTGAAAACAAATGAATTTATTAAGAATAACGACGAGCTCTTGAATAACACACAAAAGTTAAGTCAAGAGATGGAATCGTTGAGAGAACAGACATTTCATAAAGACATGGAAATCGAGTCTTTGAAAGATGTTTTGTCGCACTTAAAAGAGACGAATGTCTTCAGCGAAGACCAAATTGATCACAAGACAGGTGACAACTCTACTAATAATTTCTATGATATCGTAAAATTGGATTTAAAACTTAAGACCATTACTAATGATAAAAACGAGTTGAATGCAAAACTTGAAGATATGAGCAAAAAGTGTGAACAACTGAACGATAAATTGGTTTCTTTGGAAACGGAAAGCAAAACACTTAAGACTGAGTGCGAAGACGCCGTCCGCCACAGACTTATGGCTCAAACAGAATTAGAAGTATTGACCAAATATTATAAGGAAAAGCTCTATCTTAACCCATTTCTTTATCCACAAGTTGTGTAGGTAGCCGCGGATTTCCTTCTCCTGCACTTGAGTTACTGGTGAGTTAACCTACGGCAGCTTCTCCTTTTGCGTTCGCTTAGAAGCCAATTGCAGTCAATGAAGAGAGAGATCACCGAAACTGAAAGCAAATACAAGAAGCAAATCACTTTATTGGAGAAACAGGTGCACGAGAATTGGATCCTCGCCCGCACTGCCGAGCGATCACTCGATGAGTCCAAAGCAGAGGCCACTGCTCTCAGACAGACACTCACACTATCCGTCAAATCTGTGGACGGCTTTGGGGGCGACTCTTCGTATTTAGACGATTCTGCGAGTTCTATATCCGACAACTTTGGACCTATTCTACCACCACTTCCACCCCCGCCTCCTATGATGAACCCAATGATGCCTCCGATGCACATGTCTTTCAATGAAGGGCCCGATTCGATGTCCTTTTGGAACAACAACCCAATGGTGCCTCCAATGAACAATCAATTCCAACAAATGGGTCCAAATTACACATTCATTCAAAGCAATGGCAGCGTTGCTAACAACCCGAATTATGAATCAATGGCTGTTAGCTCCCAACCCATGAATTACGGACCACCTGTTCAACAGAACTGGGATTCCGTTTCAAACCGGGACTCATTCTCTCCAATATCTCATCGGTCCACTAATTCGCCGCATTTGAACCAATCATATATTAATAATAATCTGTATTCGCAACCAAATAGTCAGTACTCGAACCCATTGCCGCAAATGAATCCAATGTCGATGTCGAGTCCAATACACAATTCAATGGCCAATCACATGCACCCATCCGTGCAATCCGTTAATATGATGTCAGAGGTGTCCCATTGGGTGCAACCGAACGGCAATACATCCAATACATCCAACTTAAACTATAGTCACAATGAATACGACTCCGAACAGTCCTCACGATCTGCCTCTCGGAACGACACGTCTCTCCACACGTCTATCGTCTGAATTCTCATCTATTTTGTTGATATCTTTTTTTAAAGAATATATTTGTATTTTATTTATTACCGGTAATTCATATTCAATTTTTACTCGATTATAGATACTTTTACAAATGGTATGTTCAGTCACTGTTAGGTCGCATTTAGTGCTATATGGCGTCCAATAAGTTAATTCAATTAAGGGACCGATAGTCAACTGGGTTAATTATGTGATCACACTTTTATTAATTGCTTTTTCGCAAAATACCGTATAATAAATTATTATTATTAATAACGATTCTAACTTATGAAATGTCAGTTTCAGCAAATACTAAGTTACGGCATTTGTTTGTCAATAAATGCTTCAATGCTTATTTTACTGTAAGAAATACTTAAAGCAATATTTTTATCAAAATTTAATACAAATACAGTAGTTCTGAACATCTATTTATCTATTTTGAAAGAAATGGTTAATAAAATACTTTTAGATACAAAAAATG